TTCTCATAACCCAACTCTCTCACCAATCATGTAAGCTAGAAGAACATTTTGGAAGCTTCACTTTCTAGCATGTACTCTACTTCAGTTGTCGACATGACCACTATAGATTGAACCGATATTTTACAAAAAATAGGTCCTCTTGCTAAAGTAAATATATATCCTATTATAAACCTCATATCATTCATATCACCAACATAGTTTGAATTAATATATCCTACAACCTAAGGATCGCCCCGTTCACTGCTAAACATGATATTGTAACCCATTGTACCCTTTAAGTACATGAAAATTCACTTGTCCGCTTCTCAATGACGTTTATCCAATTTGAACATAAATTTACAAACCTGACTTACATCTTGTGCCTAGTATGGTATGATGTAGACTATAGAATACATTAAACAACCAATAATAGTAGTATAAGGAAACTTTGACATATACTTAGCTCATGCATCTGTCTTTGGACACTGATTCAATGAGAGCTTAAAATGATTCACCAATGAAGTACTCACAACCTTCAAATGACTCATATCAAACTTGTCTAGCACATTTTTAACATAACTTTTCTGAGAGATCCATAATTTTCTAGCACTCGTGTCCTTATGAATTTACATATCAAGAATCTTCTTAGAGTAACTAAGTCTTTCATGTCAAACTCCTTTCCCGACATGAAGTCAGTTCATGTATGTCATGTAAATGATAAAAAATAATCAACATATCTTAAATGTAAAATAACAAGAAAATAAAAGGCTCGCCAGAAAGGCTCATAACATAAACATAATAGGCATACACATACCTTCTATAGCAATATGAAGCATGTATGAATCAAAGTACTTGTACCATTGCATTGGAGACTAATTTGAACCCTACAAAAAGCTCTTCAATTTACAAATTAGGTTACCATGTCCAGTGTCATCGAACCCTCATGATTGTTCAATGCAAACTTTATCATCTATATTATATTGAAGAAACATTGCATTCACATCCATCTACTCTAAGTGCATGTTTTGACTGGCTATCAGTGCAAACACTACCTTGATAGAATTATGTTTGATGACTAGAATCTCATCATAGTCAATCCCCTTCTACTGTAAGTACCCCTTTGCTACAAGACGAGTCTTGAACTTTTCCCCTTCTTTTTCTGTTAATGTTGGTTTTCTCTTGAACAACCACTTACAACCAATGACCCTTTTCCCCTTATGAAGCTAGAAAAGTTCCCATGTATGATTTTTATTCAAGGATTCCATGTCCTCTACCATTGCACATATCCACTTATCTTTCTCCTGGGTTGCTATAACCTCTATAAGGCGGAATGGTCTCTAGAACTAGTAAGAAATGCATAAACTGCAAAGTCTTCATATCCATATCTTTATGGTGGCTTGATTGGACGTGTTTCTCAATCACATACAAGAATACAATTATGTACTCCATTGAAACATTAAGTCTATGGTAAATTTCAACATTAGAGCATGGTCCCTCTTGTGGTTTAAGCACTACCTACATATTATTAACTAATGGCAGATCAACATCCACCTGAATAACCTATTTACTAGAAGTTTCTCCTTTAGATGTCGACACATATGTGCAAGTGACTGATTCAACATTAAGTGCTAATGAAAAAGAACATCTCTGCTGAGAAACATTAGGTCTATGGTCAATTTCAACATTAGAGCATGGTCCCTCTTGTGGTTTAAGCACTACCTACATATTATTAACTAATGGCAGATCAACATCCATCTGAATAACCTATTTACTAGAAGTTTCTCCTTCAGATGTCGACACATATGTTGCAAGTGACTGATTCAACATTAAGTGCTAATAAAAAAGAACATCTTTGCTGATTACCATCTTCTTTTTAATCGAACTTCATAACTTGAACCCATTCGCACCTTTTGGATAACCAACACTCACAAAAATATTAATGCCTTATCTTTGTCACCAATCTTCATCCCAAGCCTCACTAGGTCGGTGATTCTATTGTTTAAGACATTGATATGTTGTTGCAAATCAGATCCTTCATGCAACTTCAGATTATATAGTCGCTGGTTTGCGAATAATTTATTCATTAATATCTTTGATATACCGACTCTCCAATTTTTCCCAAACCTCCTTTAGCATCGTTAGGTCAAGGATATTATGATACATCACCTTGTCTGAAACATATAGATGAATCAATCTTGCGACTTTCCCCTTCATCTCTGACCAATTGGTATTTTCCATACCAGTCAATTTTGTTCAAGTACCGCTTTCTCTAAACTTTGTTAATACAACATATCCTTAAGCCTCATTTGCTATAATCTAAAATTACCCATCACAAGGATTAATTGGCATAGGATACCGTTCGTTATAACAACAACCAATAAAGATGATTAAAGAGAAATGAATGTAAGAGACAATGAACTCGATTAATTTTTGTTAAGGCTGTTTGAACAATGATGCATACCTCTACGACTATAGAGCAACTATAATTTATTTTTATTTCTATGATTAATTAGGTTTACAATGTTACAAATAATACTCTTGAACCATACCGTAGGGGGTACCACTCCCCAATCACCCACCCACAACAAACAATTGGAAATAATACACATTTGAAATTGTTACATTATTGGATTTCTCTTTGTCTTAATATGAGTCATACCTAACATTAAGCAATATTAAACTTTGGTGTATCACAACACTAGCCACAGTCAAAGTTGATGGACTAAATGTTGGGGAATCCGGAGAGCGATACTCAAAAGTATCAATGGGCCAAATGTTAGAGGTCCAAGAGACTTTGACGCCACATATCCACAAAAAATCTTAAGGCAATGGGGGTATGAGTCACCTCACTTATAAATCTAATATTTCCTCAATAGTTGATGTGAGACTTTACTACTCACACTTAAATCTCAAGAATCTCCCCCACAAGTGTGAGTCAACCACATCAGTAGCCGTGAAACACACTAGGATCCACTTTCGCTCCCCCACCGAGCCAATCAAGCTCTAATACCATTTGTTAGGGAATCTGGAGAGCGAGACTCAGAAGTGTCAATAGGTCAAGCGTTCGGGGTTCAAGAGACTTTGACGCCACATATCCACCCAAAAACTTAAGGTAATAGGGGTATGATTCACCTCTTTTATAAGTCCAATATTTTCTACATTCTTAATTGATATGAAACTTTACCACTCACACTTGAATTCCAACACTAAATAGTCTGACCCGTAAGCATGACACAAGTTCAACCCTATCTAATATGTCATTGTTTCTACTCAAATTTACAACATTATATTTTTGAGGTTTTGTTGGACTTAGGTCGCAGGTAAACAATCACAATTTTATCTTTTTTAAAGACATTGATTTAAAGTGTAAATATTAATTATAAATTACTGTATATTCTAAAAAAATGTGTTTTTTTTTTAATGTTGCACAAAAAACCTATACACTACGTAATGTCCAATAGATTTTCTTAAAACAACTTATACACTAACTAATCAGTTATTCTATACGCTTAGTAATGTCCAATAGACTTGCTTAAAACAACTTAGTCACTAATTAATATTCCAAACCCCACTTATAACAAATCCAACACTCACAAAAGTGGAAAAACGGAGAAAGGACATCACTCCTCTTCTAGCATGATTGAAAAGCCGGCCATTGGCAAATATCATTGCCCACCACTCAATTAACCCGAAACTAAAGTCTCTCCAACAATGAAGGGAATAAGATTGGTCCTTTTGCCAATTAAGATTTTTCTTAATACAAAATTAGTAATGATCAAGTCAATGACTTGATTAATGTCTTAACCCTCAATTAACAAACATAATTTGGACTCATTATTTTAAGACCATCTTTATATACTAAAAAGAATGTCACATCCAAATACAAGTTATAATGATATGGATATGATTTTGTTGTGTTCCATTATGGATTCACCCAATTTGCAAGGATAATATATAAAAGAGCAATACATAGAATAGGGACACATTCTCTTTCTCTCTCTCTTTCTCTCACACATCTTACCATGGTCTCACACAAACTATTATGGGAAACATACCCACCCACTTTAAGGCAAAAAAATGTTAGAGACAAGAGAAGCGTGTGATTCACTCGCTTAAAAAGAGAGTAGTAACTATTTGATTTTCAAAAGGTCACAAAAACTTAACCACAACAACATTAACCATAGTTTAGAAAAGGAAACCTTAATTTCTCTCTCTATTTTTTCTCCTCTGTTTCTGTCTTCTCAGTGTTGTGTGCGTGTGTTGCTGCATTGGTTTTCTGCAATCTCTGCAAATCTTTCGCCGCCTTCTGCGTCTATTTGGGTCTTAAAGTTTGGATTTTTCTCTTTCTCCGAGCTTCAAAGATTGCTTTTTTGATAGAATTGGGAATGGTTAATGATAGCTCCCACTCAAATAGTATTGGAATAGGAATAAAAAAAAGCTTGTTGTTTATGAAATTTTGAAACTTTTTAAGTACCCAGTTGAGAAAAGTTAATTGGGTTTTCCTTGATCTCACTGTATTCGGTGGAAAACTCAACTTGGATTTTGGATTTTGGATTTTGTCACTGCCGACTTAAATGCTGATTAGGGAAAGAAATTAAGATTAAAAAATTAAGATCGGATTAAAGTCACTTTCTTTATACTAGTACTACTTGACAAGGTTAGTAAGCATGATTCATAAAGAATTTGTTTGACTGATGTTGTTTTATTAGCTTAATTTTGTATTATAGTTTTGTAACTTTTGTTTTCTCATTGATAATGACTTTTGAGATATTAAAATAAGTGATTTTTTTATTTTTGTATTTGTAAAATTATTGATGTAAGCTTGTTTCCTTTTTTGTGGCTTGCTTCAGGTCTTTCTGCTTTGTCTTCAAACTTGATTTGGATTCCAAAGGTTGCTCAGTTATTGAAGAAGAATATGTTGGAAGCAATGTTGAGATTAAGAGTTTTGGTTTTTTGATTTGAGGTGTTTGATTTGTCTGAGTTTTGGTTCTGTTGATTGATCTCTTGATTCATTCATCATCATGCCTCTTTATGAGTTATACCGTTTGGCTAGAGATAAGCTTGGTAATGAGAGTAACAGCACAAGTGTAGCTGATCAACCTTCCTCGTAAGATTTTCATGTGTTTTGATTTGATGAAATGAAGTGTTTTTTGTTTGGTCTTTTGTTTCTTAGTTGTGTTTCTTTTGTTTGGATTTGATTTGAATGTGCAGACCTGAGAATGATTTTTTTGAGCTGGTTTGGGAGAGTGGTCAGATTTCGAGCCAAGATCAATCAAGTAGAGGTAGAAAGAGTAGTCCACCTTGCAGGAGTTTGCCGTCTCACTGTTTACCGTCTCATAGCCCGAGAGGTCGAGATAAAGACGTTGGAGGAGGTTACGGTAACAATCTGAAGATAGGAAAGTTTGGTGATTTAGAGTCTGGGTTGAATGAGATTCCGATATCGGTGCCATCACGCGAAGTTGATGAAATGATGCCTTGGTTGGATTATTCGATGGATGGTTCTTTGCAAACTGATTATGGTTCTGATTTCTTACATGAACTACATAACGACATCCCTGCATCGAATAGTTTTACTCTATTTGATAAAAGGAGTAATGGAAATCAGGTATTTAGGGACTCGAATAAAAATTCTGCGGAACCGATGAATGTTTCTAAGGGTTCTTCAGCTGAACAGGTTGAGACTGCGAGAAATAAAGCCAGCACAAATCAGTTATATCCACCAGCATCGAATCAATGTCAAGCATCATTTGTAACTGTTAGATCCAGGGAATCGGATATAACTGAAAACAATAACGCAAGTAATGGTAACCAGGACGTGCCTTACGGTGAAATTACTCGCATTCCATCTTCCTCGAGTGATTTTTCCAGCTTAAAGGCGCAGAAGCAAGATCCTAAAATCCCCGGCAATGGTTCCAATGTAATGAATTTTTCCCATTTCGCAAGGCCTGCTGCTATTGTGAGAGCTAATCTTCAGAACATTGGGTTGAAGTCGGGTTTGATTTCACCTTCGGCAAGATCGGATAGTATGGGAATTAAGAATAGAGGTGAAGCTTCAACTAGCAGCAATCCTCCTGAATCAACTCTTGTTAATTCAAGCGGTGAGTGTTCGAAGGAACCAGAGATTCGCTGTCAGAAGGTGGCGGTGCAATCCAAGGCTGATTTGAAACCTTTGCAGACGAAATCTCTTGAAACGAATGTCGTAGCTTCTAAACAATCTGAGCCTATTTGCAAAGAGAGTGGAATTAAAAAAGATCAACTTTCCAATCAAGTTCTTGGCGACGGTGGTGCTAAAGTACAAACAGCTGCTGAAAAAGGTCTAGAAACGGCAGTAGCTTCTTCCTCTATTTGCTCTGGCAACGGTGCAGACAGAGGCTCGGATGATCCAAATCGAGATTTGAAACGGAAAAATAGAGACACTGATGACTCTGAATGCCATAGTGAAGTAAGTTAACTATATAGATTTACATTGTTTTTTGACTTATTTTATATTTTCCCTCTATAAACTAAGAAAACACTTTACTCGAAGGATGTTGAGGATGAATCAGCTGGTGTTAAGAAGGGAACTTCCGGACGAGGAGTTGCAGGTTCCAAAAGAAGCCGTGCTGCTGAAGTGCATAATCTATCTGAAAGGGTAAGCATGGGCATGCATCTTCGTGTCATGTTAATTTCGAAACCATGCTTATTTTCTTTCTTGAGCTCAATTTGTTTACAAATCATTCAATCATAATTTATTTATACAGAGACGAAGAGACAGGATAAACGAGAAGATGCGTGCATTACAAGAACTCATACCTAACTGCAATAAGGTTGATTTTTTTTCTTCTCATTCTATTTTGAACTTCTTAGGTCCACTTGAATAACTGTATAAGTTTTGGAGTTTTTTTTGTTGTTGTTGAGAAATATTAAATGTTGGTTATTGTTAAGAATCGTGGTTTAGGCCTAACTCATCCTTACAAAACCGGCTTGTAGGGTGAGGATTGCCCCCACTTATTCGCACATGTTCAGACCATATATTTTCTGATGGGGGACTCTTAACATACCCTCTCACGCCCAGGACTGGACATCTGGAGTGTGGAAATAAATATTTTAGACCAGACTCTGGTACCGTGTTAAAGAAATGTGATTTGGGCCTAACTCATCCTTACAAAATGACTTGTAGGGTGAGAATTGCCCCCACTTATAAGCACATTTTCAGGCTTCGTATATACATGCATACTTGATTCCTAATTTATTTTGGTTTTTCTAACTTCGCATGTACTACTACTAGGTGGATAAAGCTTCTATGCTTGATGAGGCAATTGAGTATCTAAAAACACTTCAGCTCCAAGTTCAAGTAATCTCAATCCCCGTGGCGTTAATTGTTTAGTTTTAAATTTTATGACTATAAGTGATCTCAGAATGATTCCTATCTTGTTATGCAGATGATGTCAATGGGTGCTGGTTTATATATGCCTCAAATGATGTTACCTCCCGGAATGCAGCACATGCATGCACCGCACATGGCTGCGTTTTCACCTATGAGCATTGGCATGCATATGGGGTTAGGTATGGGTTATGGAATGGGAATACCTGACATGAACGGCGGACCATCTAGATTTCCAATGATGCCTCAGATGCAAGGAACTCATATCACTATGTCTGGACCTTCTGCTATACATGGGATGGCCAGATCGAATCCTCAAGGGTTTGGGCTTCCAGGTCAGGGAATTTCCATGCCAATGCCGCGAGCTCCTGTGTTTCCTTTTTCAGGAGGGCCTGTTTTGAACTCATCAGCTCCTGGTCCATCTGCATATGGATCCACAGGACCTGTTGAAACCGTGAGTCCGGCTTCAGTGTCTGGCTCAAAAGATCCAATGCGGAATGTGGACTCTCAAATTAAACAAAGCATAGATGGCCGTGACCCTACAAACCAGATTCCTAATCAGGTCTGTTTATCCATAACTAGGTCCTCGTGATTAATTTTCACATTTGTTAACATTTTGTTTCGAGAATAATTTTATGCTTAATGTTTTTATGTTCTGCATTTCTGTCATACTAAACAGTCGGCTTTGGCGCATAATGGCGGTCATCCCTTGGTGGCCGATGACAGTGGAGCTGCTAATCCTGGAAATATCACTTTGTGATTGGTAAGTATTATGAACATGTATCACAGTACCAGTAAATCCATGAATACACGCGCTCATTCAACCTCACCTTTTACTTGTGACATAAAGCATAAAGGAGTGCATTATTTGAACAAAAAAAACTTATTGTTGAGTTAATACTGGCAGGTTATGATTGACACTCCGCATTGATCGTGGCTAGTAGAAGAATCAGGTTTGCCGAAATGTGAGTCCAAAATCTCTTGTATCTCATCTTTGCAAGTTCAATCCAGATTACTACAGAGGATATTTGGGAGTCATTGAGGTTGATCAGTCAAAATAGTGATGGGAATTCTAGTTTCCGGAATTTGAAAATTGCACAAATTTTGGTATCTTGTGATTCGCCACTCATTTGTACATCCACAACCTGTCCAATCTAATGGGATAAGTTTTTTTATATATCTTAACATTATGCATTCAAATGCTTGATTCAGTTCTTTCATAGTGATTCTTTGGATTAATGAAATAATAAGATTACGAATAACATTTTGTTCATTTATTTTATTTGTTAAACAGACTTCGATTTTACTCCCAAAAGATAGTTAATAAGATAAGTATCCAAACACATACACATCGCAGTTCAGGAACTTCGGCAATGTAAGACTCAAATACAACCTCAATATCCACCCTCAAGCCTAACCTGAGCCTAGGTTCACGCCCGAAAAACTACCCCACCCAAACACATATATGTTTCCTGAAACTTTGGCAACGTGTAACTCAAATACAACTTCAATAATACTATACTAGTTACCATCGTTTTATGTTTACTCATTTGGTCAAAAAGCCTAGATTTGTATTCACATAACAAAAGCTAGTACTCAAGCTCACATGGTTATTCCTGATTAGTATGGTATAAACTGTAAAAACGGTTCATTTAGTAACAAACTCTTGGTTTTGATAGATCATGTTATAAATGGTTGAGAAGCATCTATTTAGACGGCCTAGTACCGAGGCTAGTATATCTCTTCTGAATTCATGTCTTTGTTTTACCTTCTTTTGTAGTGAATTGAGTTAGCTTATCACACAAGTAATCATTTACCTTATTGAGAATGAGAACTTGTTGTGATTGTGAAGGCTTCTTTAGTTGCTAAGTACAATGAAATACATAAGGATTGAGACAAATTCTCATATCTCTTTTGAATTCATGTCTTTGTTTTACCTTCTTTTGTAGTGAATTGAGTTAGCTTATCACACAAGTAATCATTTACCTTGTTGAGAATGAGAACTTGTTGTGATTGTGAAGGCTTCTTTAGTTGCTAAGTACAATGAAATACATAAGGATTGAGACAAATTCGCAATAAACAATTAATACTAGATCATCATTCATCACAGATCATTGTACAAAAGTACAAACAATTCATTTTTACGCCATATAGTTAAAATGGCTTCCATTGTTTACAAACATCAATCAAGAACAAACTGCATACATTCAAAAGAATAAAGAAGAAAACAATCAAATTTTACACTACTGTCTAAAGCATGGCCTAAGGCCATCTATATACACTGCACTCTGCACACCTTTTGCTTTCAAACAAATTCAAGAGAAAATAAAATGTATAGAAACCAAAATATATGCTATAATGCTATGCATCACAACAACGGAAAAAAAGAAAGCAAACGTTTTAATTGAGCAAACTTAATTCATTCTGTCGCATTATTTGACTTTAATGTCCCCCTTTTGATCCGAGGACAGGTTTTTGGAGGATGGAGATTTACCAGTGATAGCTTTCTTCGCTTTCACAAGTGACTGTTTTACCTTTGATATAAGATTATTTGATTGCTTCTGTGCTGGCTTGGCTGGAGTTTCTTTTGGAAGGTCCTTGGATACTGTCGCTGTATCATTTTCCTTAGCGGCTTCAACCTCAGTTTTCACTGGCTCTTCGATTTGTTCTTTCTCCGAATTATTCTCTCCTGTTTGAATAGTTTTTTCCTCCTCATCTTTTTCTTCGAATTTAGACGCCAGTGTTTCTCTAACAGATTCACTTACTGCTTTAGAGATTTCATCCACCTTTGTGTTAGCTTCCACTGCTTCAGGTGTAGCTGTCTTTGCCTCATTCTGTTCGGCAGCCTTCTTGATCTCGATCTCCGCCTCTCTTGAGGATACTTGGACAGTATCAGGTGCTTCTAGTTCCTTCTTTACATTTTCTGCAGCAACATCAACCTTTTCCTCGATACTGGTAGCGTTCTCCGTAACACCGACCACTTCTTTCTTGACATCTTCTACAACAATCTTTTCTTCAACTTCAGGAGAAGGTTCCACCGGATTTGCAGAGTCATTTAGTGAAACATGTTCAGTATTCACCGTGGTGTTAGTTTTACTTTCCCCTTCTTTGACAGTGGAGTTTTTGATTGTGCCGTCTATAGATTCTTCACTTTTTTCTGTGTCTTTCTCAGGCCCCACAACTTCCTCGCCTATTTGTAATTGTTCTCTTGGCTTTTCCTCCACTCCATTAGACAGAGGGTCTATGTTCTCTTCTTTTACAGGAATTGCTTCTGATTCCGAGTTGCCAGCCTCTTTCACTCCCTCAATATCCGAGTCTTTAGGAGGGTGAACCTCCACTGTATCACCTATTGGTTCTTGACTTTCAGATGCTTCCTTTGGCTTCTCTTCTTCCTCTTTCTCGGGTGATTGAATTTCTGTTTCTGTAGGCCCTGCATTGTCGTTGTTTGTCGCTTTCAGTATCGCGGCCTCAAACTCTAATTCTCTTGTTTTTTCTTCTACATCAATGGCACTATTAGTTTCCGTAGACTGTTCAGGGATTGAAGATGTGTTTGGTTGCACCTCTCCCTTTGGTTCTGTTGATTGTTGTACTGGTTCTTTCTGATTTTCCTCAATTTCAGTAACCGCGGGCTCTTCTTTTACTGCTTCTGTGGGCTCAACTTCAGCAACCACGAGTTCTTCTTTTACTGTTTCTGTAGGCTCAACTTGAGTAACCACAGGCTCTGCTTTCTCTGTTTCCGTGGGCCCTGCAATGTCGTTGTTTGTATCTTTCAATATCGCTGCTTCAAACTCTAATTCTCTTGTTTTTTCTTCTACAACAACGACATCATTAGTTTCTGCAGATTTTTCAGGAATTGAAGCCGTGTTTGATTGCTCCTCTTCCTTAGGTTCTGTTGATTGCTGTTCTGGTTCTTTTTGATTTTCCTCAACTTCAGTAACCACAGGCTCGTCTTTTACTGTACCTGTGGGCTCTACTTCAGCAACCGCAAGTTCTTTTTTTGTTTCCGTAGGCTCAACTTCAGTAACCACAGATTCTGCTTTTACTTTTTCTGTAGGCTCTACTTTGTTGTTGTTGGTCTCTTCCGCTATCTCTGTCGATGTCTTTTCCTCATTGGCTTCACCAGAGGGTTCAATAATTGCAACTGTGCTTGGTTCCTCTGCCTCTTCTGATTTTTCTTGCGATTCTTTTTCTGGTTCTTGGGTTACTTCCCTCTCTTCTATGGCTACAGGCTCGAACACCTTTTCGACACTTGTTTCTGAAATTTCAGCCTGTTTCACCTCATCAACTTCATAGTGATTAGTCTCAGTCGCATCACTTGAACTTTCAGTGGTGTCGACTGATTTTTCGATGATTTCAGCTTCTGGAACATCTTCTGTTTTGGATTGGCTCTCTTTGGCAGTTTCTACAGGTTCCTTTTCAATAGTTTGTAGTGTTTCCTTCACATCTGGTTCAGTCAATGGTGGCTCGTCTTGCTGGCTTACTGCTGTGTCAAGCACTGGTTCTGAAAGACTGATAGGATGTGATTCCGGAACTAGATCCTTCTCCTCTTCCACACCGTCTGCAACTGCAACAGGTTCTGATGGTACAGAATTGTCAGTTTTTTCTTCAGCAACAGGAAGCTTATCAGCCTTCTCTTCATCTACTTTCTCTACCGCCGAATTTGGCGCATCATCAACTATGTCAGGTTTCGGACTATCATCAACAGGTACCTTCAATGCTGAAGACTCGTCACCCTTTTCGATCTCTGCTACAGCAAGCTCAGCCTTCTCTTCATCCACTTGCTCTACATCTGGATTTGGTGCATCATCGATTATGTCAGGTTTCAAACTATCTTCAACAGAAACCATCAATGCTGAAGAATCGTCAACCTTTTCAATCTCTGCTGCCGCCAGCTCAGCCTTCACCTCATCTCCTTCTGTCGTGGACGAAGGTGTAGCTTGGCCTTGTGAGTCATTGGGCTTGCCTCCTTCCTCATTGGCTAAGGAATTGATCTTTTCTGCAATAGCTTCGTCCTTTTCCAGCTTCACTAATTCCTGTGTAACAGAAGGTGAAAAAACATTGTTAGTAAAATGAAACAGCTGGATTCTGTGCATCATCAACTTTGTCAGGTTTCGGACTATCTTCGACAAATACCTTCAATGCTGAAGAATTGTCACCCTTTTCGATTGCTTCTGATGCAAGCTCAGCCTTCACCTCATCCCGTTCTGCCATGGACGAAGGTGTATCTTGACTTTGTGCATCATCGGACTTGTCACCATCTTCATTGGCTAAGGAATCGATCTTTTCTGCAATAGCTTCATCCTTTTCCGGCTTCACAAATTCCTGTATAACAAAAGATGAAAAAACGCTTAGTTATATGAACCAGCCTGATTATGTGCATCTTTAACTTTGTCAGGTTTCAGACTATCTCCAAGAGAAACCTTCAACGCTGAAGAATCATCCCCCTTTTCGATCTTTGCTGCTGCAAGCTCAGCCTTCACCTCATCCCCTTCTGCCATGGACGAAGGTGTAGCTTGACCTTGTGCATCTTTGGGATTTTCACCATCTTCATTGGCTAAGGAATCAATCTTTTCTGCAATAGCTTCATCCTTTTCCGGCTTCACAAATTCCTGTATAACAAAAGATGAAAAAACGCTTAGTTAAATGAACCAGCCTGATTATGTGCATCTTTAACTTTGTTAGGTTTCAGACTATCTCCAACAGAAACCTTCACTGCTGAAGAATCACCCCCCTTTTCGATCTCTGCTGCTGCAAGCTCAGCCTTCACCTCTTCTCCTTCTGTCGTCGACGAAGGAGTAGATTGACTTTGTGCGTCATCGGGCTTGTCACCATCTTCATTGGCTAAGGAATTAATCTTTTCTGAAATAGCTTCATCCTTTTCCGGCTTTACAAATTCCTATAAAATAAAAGATGAAAAAACAATGTTATTTTAAATGAAATAGCTGGATTTTGTTCATCATCAACTACGTCGGGTTTCAGACTATCTTCGACAGGTACCTTCAATGCTGAAGAATCATCACCCTCTTCGATCTTCGCTGCTGTAAGCTCCGCCTTCACCTCATCTCCTGCCTCGGATGTAGGAGTTGCTTGACCTTGTGCATCGTCAGGATTGTCTCCATCTTCATTGGCTAAGGAATTGATCTTTTCTTCAATAGCTTCATCCTTTTTCAACTTCACAAATTTCTATATAATAAAAGATGAATAAACGATGTTAGTTAAATGAAACAGGTAGATTCTGTGCATCATCAACTATGTCAGATTTCGGACTATCTTCAACTGATACCTTCAATGTTGAAGAATCGTCATCCTTTACTATCTCTGCTTCTGCTGCAAGCTCAGCCTTCACCTCATCGCCTTCTGTCGCAGACGAAGGAGTAGCTTGACCTTGTGCATCGTCGGGCTTGTCTTCATCTTCATTGGCTAAGGAATTGATCTTTTCTGCAATAACCTTGTCCTTTTCCTGCTTCACAAATTCCTACATGACAGATGATGAGAAAAAAGTTATTAGTTAAATGAAACAGGTGGATTCGGTTCATCATATACTATCTTCAACCGATACCTTAAATACTGAAGAATCATCACCCTTTTCGATTGCTTCTAATGCAAGCTCAGCCTTCACCTCATCCCCGCCTGTCGTGGATGAAGGAGTAGCTTGACCTGGTGTATCGTCAAGCTGGTCTCCATCTTCATTGGCTAACAAATCAATCTTCTCTACAATAGCTTCATCTTTTTCCGGCTTCACAAATTCCCATATAATAAAAGATGAAAAATAAAACAATATTAGTAAGTGAAACAGGTGGATTTGGTTCATCATAAACTATGACAGGTTTCGACCTGTCTTCAACAGATACCTTCAATGCTGAAGAATCGTCACCCTTTACAATTTCTGCTGCTGCAAGCTCAGCCTTCACCTCATCTCCTTCTGTTGTGGAAGGTGTAGCTTGACCTTGTGCATCTTCGGGCTTGTCACCATCTTCATTGGCTAACGAATTGATCTTTTCTGCAATACCTTCATCCTTTTCCGGCTTCACAAATTCCTGTATAAAAAAAAATGAAAAAAGGGCTTAGTTAAATGAACCAGCCGGATTATATATATCTTTAACTTTTTCGATTTCAGAAATCTTCAACACAAACCTTCAACGCTGTAGAATCGTCCCCCTTTTTGATCTCTGCTACTACAAGCTCAGCCTTAACCTCATCTCCTATCGTGGACGAAGGAGTAGATTGACCTTGTGCGTCCTCGGGCTTATCTCCATCTTCAGCTGCCAACGAACTGATCTTTTCTGCAATAGCTTCATCCTTTTCCTGCTTCACAAATTCCTACTCAACAAAAGATCAAAAACCATTGTTAGTTAAATGAAGAGTACTTGTTGAAAAAACACTTAATCATCAACAAAAAGTGGATTTTTAGAAAGAAAAAAAAGCTAAACAAACCTAAGAAACATTTTATGATACATAACTTGTCTAATACTCTTCTACAAAAGAACCCTATGAGAGGAATATAATCATTGATCATTGGATAAAACATTCAACACTTAAAAATTCAGAATCATAAATTTCAATCTTGAAAAGTACAAACTAGTTTTGAATCCAATCAGTTCCTTTATGTTACATGAATCAACAAAACTTGTAACAAGTTTCAAGATCTTAATATTAACTTTATTATTATTTGTCCCTATATATTAAAAAAAAAACTACAAGCTAACTTTTTATACAATTATCAACATAGTAAAGACATGACATGCAAGCTTGATCAAAATAACTTAAAAGTAGAATAGGAAAAAGTTCAAGATCATAAGAACAAACCTGATGAGTTTCAGAAGCCATGATGAGAAAACCAAGAGTGAGTGAAGTTACAAGTGAAGTTGTTGAGAACTTAAGGTGTAGAAATTAACCAATAAAGAAAGTTTTCAAGTGAGGAGAATAATATGGTTGGCAGGAAAAAAGAAGTTTGTTTTTGCAATGAAGAAAAAAAAGGCAGAAACAGAGATGTTTGACAGACTGTATGTCACATGATCTGGTGCTATCCTATTGTGGACTCAATGATTTAACAAGATTAGTATTATTATTTATTATTATGATTAATGTGGTACTAAAGTATTTTTTAATTAAAATACAAAAAAGTATATGATAAAATAGAAAAGTTGATGATATAGCTGGATTGAGCTGTAGCAAAGTCACTAGCTTTATTGGAGGAGTGATTAATGGGGACCAGATCAGTTCTTCATGCATTTCACAGTTGAAACTTGAAAATGTTTTTGGGCCCTCTTATTTAAATAGATAGATATTATCTTCTTGTGGACTATGGTTTATTAAGATTCCTTTTAATCAAATTTTAATTAAATGTCTTTTTCAAATTATCAAAATGATTAATAAATTTTACTATTTTGATTTTTTTTTAGATTTATTAAATCACTGGTGTATCGCAGAATTCTCAACTTAAAAAAAATTTATGTTAATTTATGTATTGCTTAATACAAGAAATAGGCATTAACTCATCTATATAGACAGCAACTAGGCTTAAGTTAGTAATAATATTAAGGCAACTTGGAATTTTAAAATAAACCGCCATTTTGTATTTTATTTATTTTATGATTCTTTAAACTACATCATCATTATGGACTATGGTTGTTGTCACTTGCTACACCATTAAGTCAAAAATGTATTATAATTAAGGTGTGAGGACATTGTTTCTTATTTATTTTAATCAAATTTTCTTGATCAACATCTGGTCTTTTCTCAATCCGCACATCAAAATCTGGTATAATATAATTATAAATATAATAAAAATTGGTATAGTAGTTAGAATCAAATATGTCTTTTAAATTAAATATTTATTGATTTAATTACTAAATTGTAATTAGGTCTATAAATTAAAAAAGTTATGTAATTTTGTTACATAGTTTCAAACTAAGGTATAATAATAATAATTTTAAATATAAATAAATATCAATTGTTAGACTATATAAGTACTATAATATATATATATATATATATATATATATATATATATATATATATATATATATATATATATATATATATATATATATATATATATATATATATATATATATATATATATATATATATATATATATATATATATATATATATATATATATATATATATATATATATATATATATATATATATATATATATATATATATATATATATATATATATATATATAAGAATCACTCAATATATAAATCACTCAAATTCAAGTTGTATTTCTTAATCTCCTTAAATAATTTCTTATATTGTCTTTCTAAGTTTATCCTTGGAAACCTTTAAACCCTTATTTTTCTTTTTAGCTCTAAAATTGTCGCCATGTAAACATAAAAGAGATACGTATCTATATTAGTTAAAAATCAGTACACAAAACTCAAAATACAATCCATTAACAAATGGATTAATGGACCGAACTAAAAAGTCCAAAAATCATGTGGACCGAGAAACAATTGATTTTATGAAAAATCTCGAAATCAGACCGACTGCGGCTCGACTCCTGCACCTCTTGCCTTGATTTCCCGCTTTTCGATTTTCTTAAATACTTTTTACAATTTCCAATTTTCTAGTTTATACAATCTTCAAAATGTTTTCTTTCTCTTCATCAACAAAGGTTTTAAGGCATACCTCAACAATCTCCACCTTGACTTTAAACCGTGTTGATATCAATTTAATCATCAACCACCTTGTTGCTCTCTACCATGTTGAATCTCTAATCAATAACCTTGATAAAGTTCAAGACGTGATTTGAAAAACCTATTTGATTTAGACATCTCTATACGCTCAGTTCCTCCTCTTGAGACACTCAAGCCTTCACCACTATCTTCAATCTTTAAATCTTCTGCCTTTGAAATTTCTTTCAATTTCACCGTTGTTTGGACTTCATCCAAAGTAATAATATCTTTCTTACCATAAAGAAAGACATATTTAAAGTGATCAAAGGATCTGAGTAATGAACTTAACAAGGGTAGGGCCTTGTTCTCATCATCAGTCTTCACTTCAATATTCTTAAGATCACCAATCATCTTGTGAAATTATATCAGCCGCTCCACTATGCATTTGTTCTCCACCATTCAAAATGAGTAGAGTTGTTGTTTCAAACACAACCTGAGAGTCAAATACTTGTTCATATATAATGATTCCATTTTTGCTCACATTGAAGTAGTCTTCTCTCTGGCGACTTCCCTTAGAACTTTATCACAGAGGCACAAGATAATGACACTCATGTCCTTTATCCACCATCTCGGTCTTATTTTCTGGTGTAAGCCTTGAAGGCTTGCATATTCACTTCAAAACACTTTTCTTGAGTTAAAATGGCTTGGATATTCACTTTCCACAACCAGAAATTATTGTCTCTGTAAAATTTTGCAATCTCCCATTTAGCCATGGTGCTCACTTGTAAACAATATCTCTTTGCCCAGCACTGGGCGCCACTTGTTGTAAAAATGACAAGGTTTAATTCAATTCAAATCTTATATATGTGAGAGCAAAGAACAATAGCAACCAAAATAAATGGCCTTCAGTATAATAAGCAAGAAGCATAAAATATAACAGAAGAAAATAAAGTGAGAAAGGAAAAAGATTTGTTTATCCAGTTTTATCAAAAGATCAAAAAGTTGTTACAATAGATTACAAATGAGTTTCAAGAAAAAAACATTCGCCTTTAGAGTTCCCAAGAACAAACTCATATTTCTATCCAAATGTTTCCCAAAGTTTCAAACTCTAAATATATGAACATCTCCAACTCTCAATAAATGAATCACTCAAACCTAAGGTGTATTTCCCAATCTCCTTAGGTAACTCCTTATATTGACTTTCTAAGTTTACCCTTGGAAAACCTTAAATCCGTATTTTTCCTTTTTAGGTCTAAAACTCTAAAATTGTCACCATGTAAACATAAAAGATATACATATTATAGTATCTAAAAGCCAGTATACAAATCCCGAAACACAACCCATTAACAAATGGATAAATGGACTAAACCGAAAAGCCCAAAAAACATATGTACTGAGAAATTGCTGATATTTTGAAAATCCCGAAATCAGACTGAGCACGGCTCGACTTTGACACCTCTTGTCTTGATTTATTATTTTTTGAGTTTCTTAAATATTTTCTTCAATTTCTAATTTAATGGTTTATGCAATCTTCAAATATGTTTTCTTTCTTTTCATCAACATAAGTTTTAAGGTATAATTTAACAATCTCCACCTTGAATTTAAACCGTGTTGATGTCAATTTAACCTTCAACCAACTTGTTACTCTCTACCATGTTGAAACTCTAATCAATAACCTTGATCAAGTTCAAGACATGTGATTTGTCAAACCTGTTTGATTTGGACATCCCTATACGCTTAGTTCCTCCTTTTGATACACTCAAGCCTTCATCACTATCTTAAATTGTCAATTCTTTCATCTTTAATTTTTTTTTATAGATTTCAACATTGTCTGGACTTCATCCAAACGATTTGGGTAATGAAATACTTAAAGTGCTCAAAGGATTTGGGTAATGAAATACTTAAAGTGCTCAAAGGATTTGGGTAATAAATTTAACAAGAGTAGAGTCATGTCCTCATCATCAATCTTCACTTCAATATTTTCAAGATCATCAATAATATTGTGAAATTATGCCAGTTGCTCCACTATGCATTTGTTCTCCAACATTCATAACGAGTAGAGTTATTGTTTCAGATAAAATTTGAGAGCCAAAGACTTGGTCATATATAATGATTCAATTTTTCCCCACATCGAAGCAGCGTGCTGCTCTTTGCGACTTCTCTTAGAATATTATCCCAGAGGTACAAGATAATGACACTCATGGCCTTATCCACCATCCCAGTTTTCTTTATTGGTGTTAGCCTTGAGGTATCAATGCCTCTCCCTTCAAAAATTCAATACACTTTTCTTGAGTTAAAATTGCTTGCATATTCACTTTTCACAAACCAGAATCATTGTCTCTGTAAAATTTTGCGATCTCCCATTTAGCCATGGTGCTCACTTGTAAACAATATCCCTTTCACTATGCCAGAAATAACCTACGAAAGCGCTTTTTTTGGGCTTTAAAAGCGCTTAAAAGCGCTCTCGTAGGTGGCGCTGCTAAAGGTTTTAGCAGCGCTTTTTGTTCAGAAAAAAGCGCTCTCGTAGGCCTACCTATGAAAGCGCTTTTTTCTTAAAAGCGCTTTCATAGGTAGGCCTACGAGAGCGCTTTTTTCTGAAAAAACGCTTTCATAGGTGTATTCAGAATGCGTATAAAGTAGGCCTATAAGAGCGCTTTTTGTTCAGCTAAAAGCGCTCTCGTAGGCCTACCTATGAAAGCGCTTTTTTCTTAAAAGCGCTTTCATAGGTAGGCCTACGAGAGCGCTTTTTTCTGAAAAAACGCTCTCATATGTGTATTCAGAATGCGTATAAAGTAGACCTATAAGAGCGCTTTTTGTTCAGCTAAAAGCGCTCTCGTAGGCCTACCTATGAAAGCGCTTTTAAGAAAAAAGCGCTTTCATAGGTTTTCTACTGAAAAATCTAAAATTTAAAAAATTTCTAAACTTGCATTTTTTTGCAGTAAACCTGTAATTCTTAAACCGGTATTTTACAATCTAATCTAGAAATACCAATATATATTAGTTTTAATCCAAATACCAAATGTAATTCAAATACCAAATATTATATATATATACAAATACCATTATAATCAATTCATATCCAAAATATATATACACCATGGTAATTCAATATTAACATGTTTTTAAACGTAACAAAATACACCCTAAGAAATCAGCTATACAACACTAAGTAAATCAATCCTAATCTACATATATATC